GGGGGGGGCAAGAACTGGACAAGGATATGGAAGGAAAGTTCGCGTGCGGTCCATGGCCCGTTTGTTTGGATACTGCTCTGACATTCGCCGGGTACTGATCGGGGAAGGAAAGTTAGCGATTACCTCAACCGAGCGCAAGAACTCCGCTCTTATCAGATAGAGAATTCGAGATGAATAAGAGTTATTAAAGTGAGAGGTAGAGTCGAAAATGCACCAACGTTGGGGCTCCAACTGTAGTTCCCACTCAGAAATTCGGCTATGGAGGTTATCACTGGGCCGTCACAACCACTACAAAGCTTCAGTTGTGAACATACGCTATTGTTGACGATAGAAGCTCGAATATTACGATAAAATATATTTGATAAATGTAGTCGTACAATTTTCTGTTTCAAGACACTTAGAGAAAATTGACGATAGAAGAAAACAACAAAATATTAGATAATAGTTATTTATTTTTAAAAGAAAATATTTCATTCCAAATCCTTTTTTGACATGCTTTATAAAATGTAATAATATTATTTCATTTTTTCTCTACAAAAATCAATTGCGGTTGAAATAACTTTTTCTCATATAAAATTCAACGAGCGCTTCGATTAATTCCTGATGATTTTAGCGAGGTTAAAATGTCGTCGCATGAAAACATTAATGTATATGCACACAAACCAAGGTAATGGAAGGGTAAACTGAGATAAAAATATCCTCTATTTTCTTTCAATATCACCTAGATTGTGTTATCTGAGCACACTTCTTTCGTTTGCAGTAATATTAAGACTCGGAACCGTGTTGCTGAAGCATAATGGGTTTTAGTAATCGTAGGACGTGAAGTTTTGCAGTAAAAATGTCTAGTTTTCCAAATTTCTCAGTATTGGTTTCTTTATCCTTTATATGCAATTAGTATTAGCATTTGCCATTGTGTAAAATAATATTAATTTGATTTTTTCAGTCTCTTAATAACTGGTTTCAAATTATTATATCTGATAAATTCACCAAATAAACGACGGATTTGTAAAGTACATCATAGGTTTTCATACAATCAAATAAACTTCATACTCAAAATCTCATATTTTCTATGGAAATAATACATTACTTTACTTACATACTAATTTAAGGAAATAAAAGCCTTCTCTCCCTACAGCAACCAAAATTTTACCATGGCAAGCGAAAATAATGTCTATTTGATAGATATAAGAGAATATTAAGTTGACGTAAGTTATGCATGAAATAATTACTTCAATTACACGGAATTCCTCAGCACGTACGTAGGGCTACCTTACTTGTCATAGGAGGGAGGTTATGGCAGAGAGACGTGCTTGTAACTAACACAGCGCTTATCAATAGATAAGGCCAACCGAAGTAAGATTTACTAAAGTATCCGTTTACTGAGAAAGAAAAGTTGAAAGAATAGGGAACTGAATTAGGAGAATTAAGATTTACAGTGTTTGAATGCGTTGATATATTTTCATGTAAAAACTCCACTATTGACCTGTTCACTATACTATCCACACACAAGGAAATATCTCGCTTCAAAAAGAAATGTAAATTACGACGGAAATTTGACCTTAAATTAACGTCTCTTGCTGCAAAGAATATTAACATCTAATAATGTTAAATAATATTCTGATTTTAGTCAGAACTTACGACGTTAGGAACAAGAAGTGCTTTTTAAAACAACTACGAATAGAGTCATCTATGTACCATATGGAAGAGTTTAAAAATACGTTTGATAAAGTTGTAAGTTAGAATAGTTCAAATCTTGATCGAAAAACTTGATTGAATTTATTTTCTTTGAAGAAAAATAATTTCGAAGAATTTACGAAATCTGGAGCCAATCACTTGCGTTGTTTTTGACATATTTTTTATGGCCACACAATCTCTAGACATGTAGTTCGATTTATTAACTCCTGCAAAGTAGTGAATTATAACTTACACATTTTGTATAAAAATTCGCTAGCGCAATAACCGACAATTCTTGAGTTGTTACACCCATTAACTTTGTTTACAACAATGAAGACGATTCGAACGCTTAAATATTAAATCCTTGAATACTAAATAATAATAAATGTTTAAAAGTTTAAAAATTGAGTGCTGAAAAAATGTTGTCATATTGGACAAAGTTTATGTTCAATTCCGAGTATATACAGTAATTCAGTCATATTTTCAAATTAATGACCGTTTAAACATATCCTGCAGGGACAACTCATTGATAATTTTAAAAAATATCCATAAGGGGAAAACACTTATGCAGTATTTCTTCAAATGTCAATAAATATTCGATAGCAATTGCAACAAAACATGTAGATTTTGAATGCGCTATATTAGTTTACAAAATCGAACCTATAAAGTCACAAGATCACAGTGCTTCCAGTATTTTAACACGACCACCGCAATTACAGGAAACCCAACTAAATACGAAGCCTCAGGTGCAACCCAGCTGCCAGTGGCTGAAGAGAAGTGAGGTAATGAAGCATCGCCCTCCACCGCCAGCAGTCACAACAGTTCCCCCCAGGCGAGCACCTGTCACGCAACCTTCAGCTGTGCCGACAGCGCGTCGCGCCGTCCCGCGGGCTGAGACCGCGCCGCTCGCCGGCGGCGGCGGCGGCGGAAGCGATCGCAAAGCGTTCGGGGCGAAGGAGCCCGTCCCCGTGCCCACCCTCGACCACCCACCTCTGATGCAGAGCTTCCGTCGCGTCCTCAGCAGCAGCAACACCAGGCACAGCACGGTGGCCGCGGCGGCGCGCTCGCGGCGGCCGCACACCAGCGCTCCCTCACGCACTCCCCCTCGCCTCTCCTCGCGCACTGTCACGCACACGCAGCCGGTGCGGCGCGGTGGGCGGCGGCGCGGCGGCGGCGGCGGCGGCGGCGGCGGCGGCGGCGGCGGCGGCGAGGGGCGGCCGGAAACGCAGGCGGCCGAACCCGGCGCTGCGCCGGAGCGACCAGGCCGCCCGGCCTCCGCGGCAGAGCTGCGCGCCCGCCCGACCTGCCCGCGGCCGCCTGCGCCGCCGCCGCCGCCGCGCGCCGCCGCCCCGACGCGGCCCGAGCGCTATCGACGCCGTGCACGGAGGAGGAGGCGGCGGCGGCGGGGACGGCGCCACAGGCGAGGCAACGGTGGCGGTGGAAGGGGCAGGAGATAGCAAAGGTCGCAGCGTGGACACACAGTGTTACGTAGAGGCGCAAAGGTGGGGTGGTCATAGCGTCTGTGGCACGAGTTGTAGTGGTGGAGGTAGTGGTAGTGGCAGTGGTAGTGGTAGTGGTGGTGGAGAAGCAGGAGGAGGTAGTGGTAGAGATGATGGTGGTGGTAGTGGTGATGGTGAGTGGTTGTAGTAATGGTAGTGCTAGTGCCAGTGGTAGATGTAATGATGGTGGTAGTAATACTCATATTGGAGGTTGTGTGACGACGATAAAGATGGTGGAGGGGGAAGTGGTGCCAGTGGAGATGTCAAGTGTAACGGTGACGGCGAAGAATGCTGGTGGTGGCGGCTCTTTCGATGCAGCGCGAACACATATGGAGATGGAGTCGATGGTGAAGGGGAGGAAAAGGAGGTTGTGCGGGTAGAGGCAGTGACGATAGCAAACGTGGGCGATGCAGGCGAAGATAGTGCAGGTTTGCAGCTTGGTCACAAGGGGAGATAGAGGTAGCAAAGGTGGTCAATGAAGAAGCGGAGGAGGCGGTGTGGTCGAGAGTGGCTGTGGAGGCGGTGTGGAAACGGACGATGTGTTATCGCAAAGACCGTACGAGGTGGGAGACGAGAAGGAGGCTGTAACAGAGACCGGGGTGACGGCGACGGCTGTGTTGGAAGTTATGTAGTTGGTGGCGGTGGTTGCAGCGTTAGCGTACAGAAATCAAAGCTGGGGAAGGAAAAAGAGGGCTTAGTGACCGTGACAGCGCTGAAGTATGCTGAGTGGCGGCGGAAGGTGTGGTTGTGGCAGAACCAGCATAGGTGTTTTATGGTTGATTGATTAATTGATCAGTGATTCCGGTCACGTCAACGTCTAAAGTCATTAATCCCGAAAGTGTAGTGCATGTTTATATCTCGTAAATTGGAGGGGATTTTTTCCCGCTGAATGACATCCAGCACCGACCCACACAGGCTTGATGGCCCTTCCCCAGCCTGACCTCCCACCAGCGGGTCAGCCCCAGCGTGGACAAGCTCTAAGCTCCTGTCTGATCACTCGTCATGTGTAGTAATTTAGTGCCCGGGACTGTTTGTGTGTGAGAAACGGTTGAAGATAGACAAGGAAAAGGAAGGGCCGTTCGCGCGCTGTGTATGGCCAGTTCCCTAAGGCATTGCTCCGGCCTTCACTTGGTGTTGATCGGAGAAACCATGGAAAACACTCGGTCAGAGCAGCCGCCCGCTACAATGCTTCTTCAAACAACGGCTGAATTAGATCTACCTTACACTTAGAAATAAAACCTAGACAGCGCATGCGCAGAAAAGAGAGAGGGAGGTTCCCTCTCTTGGAGGCTCAACTTTCTCGTCTTGAGGAACCACCACCGCCGCCGCCTCGGCCTGGGCGGGCGGGGAGATGGCAGCCTGGCCTTGACGAATGTCCTGAACCCTAAGTGTTGAAGCGTGAAAACTACGTTGCGAATCAGTTACCGTTGCAGGCGGTCTTTGAGTTCAACAGAGCTCCCCTTCGGGAGCAGGGTGAGGGGGATGGCTTGGCGACGCCATGATGGCATTTTTCTAAGTGGTCGAGCTAGTGTCGAAACTCTGCCACCGTCGGCATTCAAGTCTAGGACCTCCAGGTCAGAGGCACCGCAGTAGTGGTAGCAGAGGTGGCGGCGGCTGTGGTTATTGCGAATGAAGTGACCACGCAGGTAGAGGTGATGGAGGTGAAGGAGGTGGAATGTGCAGTCGATTGTGGGGAGGGGGAGACGAAGGTTGTAATGGGAAACGAGATATGTAGCTGTTTGTGGACGTGGATGCAACGAAGACATTATAGGTGGAGGAGGAAGAGGAGAACACTGGCGTCGGCTGTGAGGTTGGAAGCGATGACAGAGCAGATGGCGGCAGCTGTGTGGATGGGAATAGAAAGGACTATGAAGGCAATTTGATGGTAGCGGCAGCGACAGGGGTGTTAATGACACAGGCGACGCCATAGATAAAGACTGTGGAGTTGGAGGAGTCGGAGAAATTAGTAGATACGTGAATGTAGGGGATGAAGTGGAGGTAGAGACGAAGATGGAAGCAGTGGTGTTGGAGGTGGTGGAGGAGTAGACGCGGTAAGAAGAAGAGGAGGAGGAGAAGGAGGAGGAGGAGGAGGAGGAAGAGGAGGATGGGGTCCGGAGGAGGTGAGGACGGAAGAAGCAGAGATGGAGAAGGCGGTGGAAGTGTACGGGGGATAGGAGGTAGATGCGGCTGCACAGCAAGAAGAGGAGAAGTTGAAGATGGGGAGGAGGATAGGGCGCGAGATGGCGGGGACAGACGAGGAAGAGGGGGCGGAGGTTGAGACGGTGGAAGCGAGGAGAAAGAGGGCGGAGGTACTGTAGGAAGAAGATGAAGTCGTGAAGGAGGAAAGGGTGGAGATGGAAAAGCGCGTGGGGCGAAGGAGGCGGAGGTACTGAAGGAAGAGGAGGAGAGGATGAAACAGGGGTGGCGGAGAGAGGGCCGTGGAGGGGGCAGTGGGCGGGGCGCAACGCGTCGCCGGCCGCGCGTGGCGCTCGCGGGCGCAGGGAGCTGGCAGTGCCTTGCGTGCATGTTCACACTCCTCCCGGGGGCAGCGCGGGCTGTTTGTTACACCAAACAGACTGCTGATTTCGGGAGCTCGTAACGTTGCTCTGCAAGCGAGCAAGTACTGCACTCACTTATATTAATACGTAATAAACGCAGAATGCACGGGCGAGGCGGTAAGTGACTCTGACGGGCGGGTTATGTGGATACCGACTTCGCATCGCTAGACAGAAGGTCTCAATTTCGAAATGCGTCTGCAGAATGCGAGTTAATTTTTCGTTTGTATTTTGCCGGTGGTCCTCCTCCTCTATCCTGAAAATCGGGCAAGTGGTGTATGTTTCGGCGGTGTTTTAGGGCTTCATTTTGGAAATCTGGCTGAAAAAATTAAATTTTCGACTCAATTGAAACAGTAATCTTATTAGATTTATGTATATTAGAATATCCCTATTATGTGAAACCATTGTGAGTTTCCTTTTGGAGGTCACATGAACCCGATGGAGCATGTTCAAACACGTCAATAACTTCCGGTAGTGAACAGCTCTTCGTGATCCTTTGCAGCCCGTGTAGATCGTTCAGTTTACGAGGAGTGGCTTTCATGGTTTTATAAATATTTTGTTGTGGAAAATATCCAAATACTGATGATTATTGTGCCGAAACCGTTACTGGAAAAGGAGAGTGTATTACGTATGTTACACATTCTCGAAATTCAGTTAATTTTAGAGCATTATAAACTTTTGTTGTTCTAAGGCATCCACCAACTCATTACTCCATGTATTTATTCATTGTTACACACTACATCACCATCTTAACTTCATCATCGTGATCAACATATAATTGCGATCAGAAATCTGGCTACGAAATTGCGGCTATTGAGCCGTCTTCTAGCATTTACGTCGTACCAAAAAGAGATAATAATATTGATTTATCTTACATTGAAATCTATTTCGTTATTCAAGAATCTATATTTTAGATAAATTGGAAGTAGACAACTTGAACAGAGGGTGCAATATTTCACTGTCTCAACCTAACGTGACTAAATGAGAAATACCAAACGAGAGTCGGCGATATTTTGACAAAAAATCTTATTACCTGGCCTTGATAACACGAAAAGTGGATAATTCTTGTTCCTGTATGTAGTAAATTTCTTCCTCTTAGCCGTTATGGAGTCATAGTGCATGTTTTGGGGTTCTTGATACCACAAAATCGATTGATGTCAAAATATCTGTGCAGAACGGTAGCGCCTAAACCGTGCATACGATTTTCTTCATAACTGATATTCCCCAATCGATCTGAACAGCGATTTTGACCAGCGATTTTGGAATTGATATTCTGATTTCTGGGGATACTTAACATGAAACAACTTTTTCAGAAGTTTCTCAAAAATGGCTCCGTACAATTTTTCAAAAATATCAGAGGTTTTTGCGTAATTTTGGGTGAAATTTAGGAAATTTTTAAACCACTTTCTTAAATTTCCAATTTTTTTCTTCACATTTTCTCTTCATATGTATCAAAGAACGATAAAAGGGTGCTAGTTTCAATTTCGGCGAACTCTGTATTTTTGAAAATTGTGAATATTTAACATCGCACTTATACCAACATAATAGCTATAGAAGAAATGAGTTTTGTCTTATATAATAAATTGAAGGAAAGAGTTTGAGGGGTTTATGAAAAAATGCTTCTTTTTATAAATTGCATTTATTTTAAGCATAAATTACAGGAAAACTACTCATGTTTTCAAAACATGGTACGTGACCTTTTTTAAAGAGCTGATATTTAGAACAGTTTTAGTTTAAAGCAACAAATCTGTCATCAATTTTGTAGTTTTGAATTATTAATTGTTAGCGATTTTCGAATGTACAGTGAGTTCCCCGGAAATGCGAATGGCGGAAATGTTTTACAATTTTGATAGAGAATGTTTTTTAAAATGTGAAGCCGTTTTTGAAAACAAATTTTAAAAATCTGTGCGTATTTTCGAAAACTGTTTTATTTTATGTCATGTACTTATTTAAGACCTATCATCGAAGAACATATTTGATGAATATTGAAATACTTTGTTATTTACAAAACATCGATAATTGTGCTTCGTAAACGTTCCGGTAACAACCCACTTATTGGTGCAGCGAACTCGTTTTTATGAACACATCAACAAGAAGATATCGTGTACTAATTCTAAAAACCTCATTTTACGGTAAAGTATAACTGCCAGTAAAGAGTCAGAGATAAAGAAAATGGATAAAATCGATTCCAGGCCATTGTAAATGGGTAAAGTTTCCAGACGGTGTTTGTCTAAAGCTCGTATGCTATCCGATTAAAGATAGAGCTCGAAGGAAGATTTGTTCGATTTAACAGTAGGTAACACATTTTAGAACCCAATGGACCTTGTTAGATTCCTTGTAATTAGGGTTATATTTCCAGCAGAGGGTGAAGAAAAGCAGGAGTGGGTGAGCAACTAACGACCCCAAAAACTTCGAAAATCAATTCTTTGTCATCCCTATATAGTATTTGAGTAACTCCTCGTGTGTGCGGATGCGCGGTTCCGTCACTCGCGGTTACACTACTTCCCGTATACCAATCCAGTCACACGAAGTGCCATTCGACGCGTCTCGGTCTTCTTATGGGGCAACTGCTAAAATTATTGGATCCGATCAGAATATTCAAATAAATTTCCCAAAACGTTTTTGCGTGTTTTGGGGCTGTGAATATGCCGAGAGTTAAGCCAACGCCACCTGAATAGAACTAGGTAGGTGACGTTGATTAAACTCCAATATCCAAAGGCTTTTTTCGAAGAGAAAGGCGAAAAGAAAGATGTAGACGTAAAAAATGAAGTAGACGTAGAGAGATATATAAAGAAAGACGTAGGGATTGACGTAGACAAAGACACAGAGAAGACGCAGATGATGAACAAGACAGAAGAAATCTTTAGAAGAAGAAGAATACGAGAATACAAAAACAAAGAATTTCCTTTCACGGAAAATAAACTAAAAAACTGGAGGGCACTGAGATGCCCGGATGAGACGGCGATGGGTGCACGTCTTCGAGAACAGCATAGAAGTATGATCCAGTCGGTCGCTTTAATAATCATAATTTTTATATGATAAATCAGGATACGCCCAGTGGCACGAAAGTGCAACACATAAATGCGTATTTGCCGATACTGCCATGTGGTCTTTAAATTGATTGTACCGTCACAAATTGAAAAAAAACATTTCGAAATAACTCTTGCCGAAGTCAATTTTATAAAACAATTACATTACCGAAGTTCAGGAAAGTCAATGGTAGAAATCCTGCTCAATATCACAAAATAATTGCAAAATTTAAGTGGTTAGTCCGCAACGCTGACAACACATCTAAAATTAATCAAGAAACCCTCAACCGAAAAATAAACAACTGGTGATTCTACAGAATGACACAGACTTTCCCGTATTAGTTTTCTATTACCTTTGGTTTCAGCTAGTTCTTCGAACTTGCCACATACTCTTACCTGCTGCCATCTATCGCTGCGCAAAGCACATTTTTTTGAAATTATTTAAATTTTTCAGTTTCCTAATAGTACGACGGAAATATTATTTTAAGAATATTAAAGGACAGTAAAACTTTGTCCTAAATGACAATTTTCTTTGAAAAATTTGGAGCAGCTTTTAAGAAATGGCACATAAGTGCTACTGTTAATTCGAAATTTGAATCACGAGTTTTTTAAAAACTTTATTAGAAGGCATATGCAGCATATTAATTAAACAAATTCAATAGTGTTTACAAATGGCTGGAAATGTGCGTACTTGTACTACCGGCATGAGAGATCTTTCAAAAAAACTACACTGCTGTAATTTTTGAAAAAAAACATAAAAAGACCGAAATGAACTCTATCTCATATTAAAGGGTACAATTAGCACTATGCTTTCGAAAAAGTTGTTGGATTTTGGATCCATTTTTTTGAAAATGGCGTTTGTGCGGTTCAGAAAATGCGAAATTTTGAGCTAGTTTTCACTAAAAAGATTGAGTTTTCGAGAAGTATTATATGATATTATTTAAAGCACATGTACTCATATATATAATATTGTGAACAAATGGCCCCCAATGTAAATATTAAGGACAGTAAGTAGAAAAATACATTTTTGTAATTGTTGAAAAAACAAGAGAATTGAGCAAACTGGTGTTTATATCATCTTATAATATGCATTTAGCACTATCCCTTCCAAAAGTTCAAAGAAAAATTTGGAGCAGTTTTTGAGAAAATCTTGTTTTGATAATTTTTTTAAAATTGCACAAATGGAACGCAATATTACACGAAAACTACTAAAATTTTCAAAAAGTGTACATGACCTTAATGAAAGAACAAATTATAAAAAACAACTATAATTTCAATAAAGAATCTCCATCTTTAATTTTAAAGTTTGTACGAAGACCCCCCAAAAAATTTTTAACTTTGGAAATTTTCAAAAAATTCAGTTTTTACCGTGAAAATCGGACCAAAGCCAACTTTATATGTGTATTTTGGTATACTGTTAGAAGAAATTTAATCATGAAACTTTGAGCCATTTTGAAAAAAAATTGAAAATGTCCCAGGGGCTTCATGTAAAGCACCACCAAAAACTACCGAATGACTTTCAAACTCGCAGAGCATCGTCTCAGGCCAAATGGACAGGGTTTTCTTCAATTTGGAAAAAAATATTACGCACGGTTTAGGCGCTAGTGGTGTTCACATACACCCGACAGGCGAACAGACGGACAGACGGATGAACAGAGAGACCGACGGTCGGACGTTTTAAAAATCAAACACGTGTTCGGTATCAGGAGGCCCCAAAACGTATACCTCCGTTCAAATTTCGAAATCGGTTTTCTGCAGCATTACATAATTCTCTCTATACTACGTGTATTAGTTCGTATATACATATTTATACGGGAAAGTAAAAAATGATAACTGCATGTAGTAGTTTTAGTGAAAACCGCATCTAAGTATCTGCAACAGTTCAGGAGAAAATTGAAGGGAACATCTTAGGTGGGCCACACGGTATATTCATATTTTTACATTTGAAGGGCCGCCATTTATTCCTGTACCCGGCAACAAAACGTTGCGCCGCAAGGTTATCGAACACGCGTGCAGAGTCAGCATAGAGTTAGATGTACAGAACTTCAAACCCATGCAGCTTGCATCTTCTTGCGGCAGCGGTATGAGGACGAGCGTTCTTTTGTTGAAATAGGGTACGGTCATCCTGAACGACAGAGCCGCTGACGACAGAATATTCTCAAGGTACCTTATGGGATCATGGTGGCCGCGAGAAACATGATTATTGACCGGGCCCCGGGCGAACAATGGTTGCCATCATCGTGGCTGCTGGTGCGTGTGAAGGGCGCACACAGCTCTTTGTGGCGCTCGTCACTGCTCCTCCAGACCCTGTGGTCGTCGCCTCTAGAGTAGATGCGGATCAGGTCACTGGAGATGGTCCGCTGACAGCCTGCGTGACCCTAAGGCCGTCGTTCCCGTCACCAGGCGGCGCTGTTGTGACGCTGCTGGGGAGTTAGCGACTGTCCCTGAGTGAGTACACTGGGATGTCAGCGTGTGCATATCGTGTATGTGTGCCTTCCCCACATGTTAATCCCAACAATTGGCGATAATAGTGTCTCCGCCGGAAGGGCGCGGCCTGCAATTTTTGCAGACATTTTTGCAGCAATTTTTATGATGATGAATGAATAAATGTTTGAGAATGAAAATAATCTACTTCTTATTAACGGTATTTCTGATTGCTAGAAAAGTTAATTTTACAGCTAACAATTTTTTTAAATTACTTCGTTTTATAAATGTAAATTGAATTGTTGTTTATTTACTTATTGTATTAATTATTCATTTTCCCCCTAATACTTTAAGAATAATAATAACAATAATAATAGTAATAGTATTATTATTATTATTATTATTATTATTATTATTAAGAAGAAGAAGAAGAAAAAGAAGAAGACAGAAAATCTCTTTTGCCCAGTTTTTTACTTTAACGTGAACCTTCAAGACAAAATGTAAGACCTTTAAGACATAATTTTCAGAATTAGTAGTTGTATACCTGGATACTGCGATACTCGACTACATTGAAAAATATATTACGATTTTCCTGTGTATAGATTATCTGTTGGGCGTAGGTTTCTACAAAGCGATGCGTTCTGGCTCCCGAAATTGAAGTAACCGAGATAAGAGAATCGATTCCTCACTCCACTTCTATTGGTGGGGAGTCTTGTTTCTCTGAATCACTGCTTCAAGGGGAAGCCATAGTATTGTTCCAAACGACCTACGGACTCTTGCTGCTTTTGCTTCTGGCTTTTCTCTATTGTTCTTATTCCAATTCCTAAAAGAAGATACCTTTTCATCAAGTCTAAAAGCAACCGGGCTAATTTGTTTTAAAGAACAAGGCTTGGGATTTGAACTTGCATTCGCTAGAAGACAATGTATTTTCTGTAAATGGTCTACTCTCTAAAGCAGACGGGGTTCATGAAGTAACAGTAAAATAACCATCAACCAATGTAATTAACGTTTGTTGATAAAAGTTACTACATAATTTTTTAGTCTATTTTTTTAATATTGCTCACAGCATTTGAATTCGCTTAAAATACTCTCTATTAATTTTATATCTGATGACTACAAAGTTCTTGAAATGAAATGATAGTGCAGTTGCAAAAACTAATATTTCAGTAAACATCACTTCTCTGTGATGCCGAGTGTTCTCTTCTCAGATGCAAGATGATCTATTCCTTTTGCGAAAGAAAATGATTGAATCGAAAACACAAACTTTTAGAATTCAACAGCTAATCTCTTGAAGCAGTATTTACTTGTTATAAATAAACAAGTAATTATTATAATGTTACACTCTGATTTCCAAGCGAGATACTATAGTCTTTTGAATTTTCAAAGGCTTCCGAAGGTAAGCAATATACCGACAGGTAAGCAATTTAAGGTGTTGTCATGCACTCCTTTAATTAAACGACTAAGAATGTCTGGTAACATACACTTTGTCATGACAAATTATGAATCACACACAATATTAATTTTATTTTTAAAATAATGAAGTTGTATTATTAGTTTTTGATTATGTTCCCTTCTTCCATATTGTACCATACCAAATCAGACAATATTTATTTTCACGTGACAGAACTTTCCGAACTTCTTGTTGCTCTCGCAATCGTGTCCGTCCATTCTTCCGTTTCCGCTTTAAATAGTTCCGAACTCTCAACAAAAGACCTTCACTACTACATCTTAGTGAACCCCAACGATACAAGTTAGGTACTTCATTCATACTATATTAAGTGAGATTAAATAGAAATTGCAACAATGATTACATGTGTTAATTCATTACACCCATTGTTTTGAAGTTTCTTTTAGTCGCATCGACAACATGGCTATTAGCGACTTTTTCTGTTACAAATACAATAGATCACTAGAAAATTACAACAGTATAAATTGCAATTATCATACAGTAGTAACAATTCAAAACAATAGTGACTATTGACTTGTATCGATTGAAATTAAATGTCCAGAAATACATTGATGGCTTTACAAAAATTAATTATTCTTTCTTAGTTTTCTTTAGAATGGAATATTGGTTAATAAAACAGTTAAGTATTTTTGATTGTTATATCTGGGACATTTGAAAATGTGATCACTATTTTGAGGTGTATTGCACTTTTCACATGTAGGGAGATGATTTTGTTTATTAAATAGAGATGGTTTAATTTGAAAAGTAGTTCGTTGTTGATTTGAAAAGTTATTCTTTGTTTAATTTGAAAAAGGTGTTCGAATCCTAGAAAGGGCTACTTGCTCCCTGCGTCGGGTTTTGTACGGGTTACATTCATTTTGTTTACTTCACATATTCAAAAAGTAATTCCGTTTCGAAGCGAAAAAAAAACAAATATTTTTCTAAAATACTCTTGAAGAAATAAAATTTAAAATACAATATCAAACGAACTCGCTCCGAGGTTTATTTTTCGAAACATGCACCCATTTTATTTTTAACAGAAACCAGATATAAATCTCTGTTTGTGACAACGTCCTAGATGAACTTCCATCAGGAAATGAAACTTCTTCTCATCTGCGGCTCAAATTCCAGGAATGTTGTGGCGGAGTTTGCGATGGGCTGTCGCCATTTTCGTGCCTCCCTCGTTTTCCCTAGTGGCGCTGCGTGCGTCTGCAGGGCTCATTACCTTCCAGGAAGAGCCATCATCAGCATAATATATGGGAGGTCATTTGAGCTCTGGAACTATACAGGCCACGTCCTGCCTCCACGCAATGTAATCTACATGCTGCAAATAACGTATTAATTTGTTAATCCGAATGCTGTTTGAATGTGTTTACTTGGGTATTTAACTGGTCGAGCAAATTCTGTTTATTCGTGATACATGTTCTTTCATTCATTCATTCGTTCATTCATTTATTCACGGGTTCAAGTAGTAGTTCGTTTTAGAGTAACTAGTAAAAATACTCTCTTATTATTACCTTAGATATATTAAAATATTTTAAGAAAATCGCTCGTTAATTTAATTAAATATTTATCGAATGAAATTATTTTCTTCACAATTGTTCTTTCAACGTACAATGATATATTTAAACACCCCTGGTGGATTCAGAATGTTATTACGAAATTCTCCAAACAACAAAAATTAGTTGTGAAAATTTTAGCTGCGAAATACTTAAGGAACGCGTAGGAAAAAAACCTAGGCTATCTCGTACGGCTCAGAAATCATCCTACGTCGTTAAAAATATTATAAAATAGTAGTAAATAACAGTTCCATTTGGTACTTTTTGATTCTATTCTTTAAAAAACCAACCTTTATTTGTTTCCACGAGTAATATTTAACGTAAAAAGGCACATTGCTACGATGTCCTCGCCTGGTCCGTCTCCATCGCTCGTCCGTGACAGTGTTACACCGCCCCCTCTCTTATACTTCCATTGCTTTCTAAATGCCACAGAAAAGTCATAAGTATTTTGTACGTATTATATTTGTACATGTTACTGTAAGAAGTCCATGCCAACATTTTTACAAATTATTCGCGACGCTTTGAACATTTCGCGGTAAAACTTTTAAAGTAAATCGGAGTATTCAAATTTGCCTCGCAAAAATGTAATAATTGTTTGTAAAAATTAATATTTTATTCGGTTTCAATACAAGTATTTTATTTTAAAAACACAATTACCAAACCATTCAACAATTATCTTTGATTCCACAAATCGTCGGCAATATTCAATCATCACTGTTACCAGAGTAGAAATACAATTAGAACCTGGGACAGTGCATGAATACTGTGGAGCGCAAAGGAAAATTAAATAGCGTATTGAAGATTCACACATTCTAAATCTCTACGTCACCATATTCTTCTTCTAGCAACTATATCGCATATGACTCCATTATTTGCAAAATATAAAAATGCTCTATTTTTTTGTAGGACGTTCTTCAGGCGAATCCTGTAACCTCTATAAATACAATCGCAAACTTTATAGTAGACCCAGACACACACATTATATAATTTTCACCTCTAAATGAAGACCTCAGGCATTAGTTAAGCATTAAGATTAACATTATTCTTTTGATTTAGTACATTATTTAGACGCATAAAAAGAACCCCTTTAATTTGAAGAAACTTGATAGACGAGTTTAAAAGTCTGCCGCTTACGAATCTCGCAGGGCTGGCTGAGTAGGTGCTTTCTTCCGTTCACGCACTGAGTCGTGCAGTCTCGCTCTGCCCGACCTGCGCCATGGCCAGGCCCACACCTGAGCTCCGCCGATCGATCAGTGTGAGCTCATGTTTATCCGCTTGTACCTCCTGTTCCACCAGTGTAATTTGCCCAGATCCATTCAATCAGCTCAAACACCCGCCGGATTGGTTTCGCGAGGTAGTCCACGGGAGGGGAACCCCTTCAATGCGCGCTCTATTCTATTTAGGAAGAAAATCAGAACAGTCTATTGTTGGCTTTTCCGCTACGAAGCGTATGGTGGGGCAGTAAGCATTCCTTTCATTGCACGCTACTGGGCTTTTAATGCCTATAATTAGTTTGGGTAGGTAGACGAAGCAATGCTAATTTCCGGACGACTTCATAGAATTTACCACTAGTTCCGTGTCACCTTGCATCACTTGTAGAGTATGAAATTTCACAAACCTGCCGCCAAGCAACTACTGTAACACAATGCTTATTGCACTTGACTGACTTTTGCTGAAAAATATTTCTTTCTTTATCATGTTCTTTCTTACACCGTTTAGAATAAAGATAATAAATATTAAACTTAATAATTAATACAATTAAGGGGAATATTTGAAATAAGCTAACTTCACAGTTTGTTCTTAAGAACTTCAGATTTATCAATGTGTTTCGGAAACAAGAAAGAACTCTTCCAGAAGAATTTTATTAAATTCTTGTCGTAACTTCCACGTCTTCAAATATGTGAGGCATGCGTTGACATTGTTTCGCATGTAATATTTTACTAAAGTTTTGAATTTCAAAGATAGTTTAGGGTATTCGAGCAAAAAGACTCGTGACGAAGAGGCA